TTGCTTCGATAACAAGTGGAAGAAGGGAGAGAGAAAGGGGTAAAAGAGGAGAACGGCGAGAGCTGACCAGCCCTGGCAGCGATAGTCCCTCTCATAATAAGAGCGTGATTAAGCATGATGGATCCTTTGAACAGCGAGTCTTCTTGTGAGAGACATAGTGCTGTTCCCAAACATTAAAAATACTGTATGAATCCTTTCATACTTCCTCATAGTGATGAATACTCACAATACTCATAACGATGAATTACTCATAATACCCATCCGCATATTTATAGAACTTTGTACAGAACTTTAAAACGTGTGGCCATCTCACTCCGATGAGCCTCTCAGAAAAACATTGAGAAGACAAATAGCTGTCTCTACGCGTAAACATGTAAATAATAGACTGACCGTCTGGGTGGATGAGCCGTCCGGAAAAGCAACGTCCAGCGTTCCTGGATGTAACATCATCAAACTGCCAGTCATTACATGTTTTCGGACATCAGCTGCCGTCATTCTGAAATTATATTACTCAGAAAACAGGTTTTACCATTTCAGGTCTCTTCAGTGTTCGGAAAAGTTGAGTATAACTCCCAGTTTTCTCCCTGCACAAAGTTTTAAAAAGCTCCACGAAATAAACGAATTTCCCGTAATAATCACTAGGAAAACCATTTATTTTGAGATGCAATACTTACTTATTGCGCTTTCCGACGAAAGCGCGTTGCGTAGGCGTCGCAACAAATGACGTCATTCTGTCCATAAAGCCAGAACTGTGAGTTGAACTACCGCATCTGTAACGGAGATTTGATCAATATGCAAAAGCACACAGGGCGGCGGTTTTTCTTTCGTCAATGACCGCGAGCTTGATTGCGCTTCGCCTCAGGCGACCGAGAAGTCGTCCAATATCCGGTCAAACAAAACTTAAAACCAGTACGATTCGCAACATGTCCGAGCAGATAATGCGATTTATGGAGAAAAACGTCTATAGAAAGTGGGATTGGGAGGACATGAATATGATATGACATCTGTTCAAGCGATGATGGACGTAAAAAGGCTTGACTTTTGGTCTCTCATGAAAGAGCCGGCGAAAACTTCACATGCAAAGGACATCTGCGCCTCGTTGGCAAGATCTTATGAACAGACACGACGACGACAGCGAACTTGTGCAGAAGTTCACCGACGATCAATAGAGGATAGCCGACACGGAATGTAACATGGCGCTAGAGTGCTACCGGTGTCCGTCCGTGATAGCCGAGTGAGGGACGGACTAAAAAGGTGCAGCACTAATGCGATTTGAACATGAATCGATGAGGCCACACCGAGCGCTGATGGCCCCCACTAGGGGTAATGGCTAGTCTTTACACATCGACACGACAAAACAGCTGGTGAGACGAGAGTGGCGTTGCCGCTAGGACATTGTGCGAGAAGCGTAACCAGAAACGCATGTCACAGTAAACATTTAGCTACATCGAATTATCCTAGAGATGCTATTCCTCACACCATTTGCAAAGTGTAGCTCGTATAATCCAGCGACGGTTTCGTGAAACTCAATCCTATAAACCGATAGTACATTACCATATTCGTACTCTGACACCACTCAGTATTGAACGGTCAAAGATGAAGTACTCTCAAAGAAAGGTCAGAGAATAAGAACACTTGCTGCATACTGATTCTAATTTTTTCTAAAGCCCAGTTTTGAAAGCTTCTAATCAAAATCCTGTACGAACTTTGGAACTATTACCAAATGGGTGATGCCATATTCCACTATTTGGATCTGAAGCCTGAGAAGTCCGAAACGGAGAGCCAAACGAGAAGACACAAGAGGCTGCATCACTTATGCCGAGATGAATCCCCCAAGCTATCGCGACGTCTTTCGACAAAAGTGTAGCGTAAGTGTGGGAATGTGTGGCTGCAGTGCCATCTTGCCAATACTTCTCGCTATATGCATGACTACGCAGCAGCGTAACGACAGGGGAGGACGGCCAAACTAACAGGCTACCGCGAAGCGAAAAAGGTTAGGTTTTCTTTATGCAAATTCCAAAAAATCTTAGTGTGATAAGCAAAAGTATTTGACGTAGAAAATGTACTTAACGTAACACCTATACATCTAACTCTCCCTGCCTAAAACACGGTCAATCAAAAATGTGAAATCGAGCTTAAAAACAACCCCTTCGACATTGTTGCACAAGACACGACGCTCCTTTTTCCTAGAACTGCATGTATGTCGAAGCGCAGTGGGTGGGTGGGAAGCATTTAATGATGCCTGATGCCGATGGCGAATGTACTAGTCGTACCAGTCTAACTAGTCTAACTACGCCCATTCGCTAAAGACCTGGCGAAAGTACACTATTCTCTTATAAAACATCAACACCCCGAAATGAGGTGAAACGTAAAGAAAATGTAAGAGCTGGATATGGTTATGACTGTCTAAGGACTTTTACTGGAATCTAAACCGCTTTTCAAAAAATTGCGGCAAGTTGACTTGAATTTCTTGCAATACGGTTATGTTTGTTGTTATGCTAATTATTTTATCAATATCCCATTAATAAGCTAAAATCATTGGAATAATCAAAATTCAAATTGCGGGTCGCACTGCGAAAAAGATCGCAGATTTACATACCATGGGTTCAAATTCTACAATCTTCAAGCTATGTTATGCTATACTATACTATGCTATGTTTGTCTCCATTTTTGGAGTTTTGTTCAGCTTCAGCGTACGTTCTCTGGGTGGCATT